ATTACCATAGTGGACAATAATTACAATTGGTGATGCATTATTTTCATCAAAATCACCAAGAAATTTATTAAGTTTTAATGATATTCGGTCCAACAGATATCATGTTGAAACAACTAATGATGGTAATAAAGAGTATCTCAATATTACAAAAATGATATCGGGTAAGAAAAGTCTTTTGGAAAAATTATTGTCCTCCGGATTGTATTATACAAATATTAGAATGATTGAATCTCATGCTATTGAAAATAAAATGTATGATAACACCTTTAAAGTATGACATGACCGGTTGGGCCATCCCGAATCAATTATGACGCGCAAAATAATTGAAACTTCAAGTGGTCATTCCTTGAAAAACCAGAAGATTTTTCAAGCTAATGAATTCTCTTGTGTTGCATTCTCTCAAGGAAATTAATTTCTCATCCATCATTGAACAAAGTTGGGTATGAAAGTCGTAGTTTTTAGAAAGAATTCAAAGGGATATATGTGGACCAATTTAACCACCATGTTGACCATTTAGATATTTTATGGTTTTAATTGATGAGTCAACTAGATGGTCACATGTGTGCTTGTTGTCTAGTTGTAATTTAGTTTTTGCAAGATTACTTGCATAAATAATCAGTCTAAGGGCACATTTCCTCGATTACCCAATTAAGAAAGTTTGACTTGACAATGCTACAAAATTTTCATTGCAAGCTATTAATAATTATTGCATGTCGATTGGATTGAACATCCTATTACACATGTTCATACGCAAAATGGTATAATAGATTCAATAATCAAACGCCTTCAATTAATTACAAGACCATTACTAATGCATTCTAAACTTCCTACATTGACATGGGGCATGCAATTTTACATGCAACATCACTTATACGCATCAGGCCAACTAGTTATCATTAGTTCTCCCCTATTCAACTGGTTTGCGGTCAAGAACCAAATATTTCCATCTAAAGACGTTTAGATGTGCAATTTATGTACCAATTTCTCCACCTCAAAGAAGAATGAGAATTTATGTTGAATATGAATCTCTATCTATAGTAAAATATTTAAAACCATCAACTGGAGATTTATTTACAGCTATATTTGATGATTATTATTTTCATGAATCATATTTTCCAACATTAGGGGGAGAAATAAAGAATCTGGAAAATAAAATCTCTTGAAAAGAATTATCACTTTCAGTTTTAGATCCTCGTTCAAGTCAATGTGAACTTGAAATAAAAAAGATAATTCATTTACAAAATGTAGCAAATCAATTGCCAGATGCATTTACTGACCTAAGATAGTAACAAAGTATCATGTACCAGCTGTAAATGCTCCAGTTAAAATTGATATCCCAGAAGGAAAAAATACAACTACAAATGAATCTAAGGCATGCCTGAAGCATGGAAGGCGAACCGGTTCCAAAGATAAAAATCTTCGAAAACGAAAGGGAGAAAATATAATTGATGGTCCAAAAGAGAAAACAAAATCTCTTGAAAAGATTAATGAAGCTCTAGAAGAGCCCAATAACACAACAAAAGGAAATAAGGTACCTGAAAAAAAAATTAAAATGATGAGATTTCAATAAATTATGTCATTACATGAATAAGATGGAACCGAAATAAGATAGACGTCGACGATAATTTTTCATATCATGTTGCGCGTGAGATTATGGAAGAAAATGAGGATCTTGAACCCAAATCTATAGAGGAATGTAGAAATAGAAAAGATTGGTCAAAATGGAAAGATTCAATCAACAAAGAGCTTAATACTCTTACTCAACGAAAAGTGTTTAGACCTGTAGTTCGTACACCAAATAGAGTAAGACTAGTGGGACACAAATGGGTATTATGGCGCAAAAGAAACGAGAAAAATGAAATTGTGAGATATAAAGCAAGACTTATTGCACAAGGTTTTACCCAAAGGCCCAAAATTGATTATGAAGAAACATACTATCCTATGGTTGATGCAATTACATTCCGTTATCTAATAAGTCTGGCAACACATGAAAAACTGGAGATGCATCTGATGGATGTAGTTACCGTCTATTTATATGGTTCACTTGAGAATGATATTTATATGAAATCCTAGAAGGGTTTAAAGTGCCAGAAGCACAAATTTCTAATTCTCGAAAAGTACATTCGGTAAAATTAAATAAATCTTTGTATGGATTGAAACAATAAGACCATATGTGGTTCAATTTTTTAAATGTCATTTTGTTGAAAGAGGGCCACAAAAATGATCCAATAAACCCATGTGTATTCATAAAAAGATTCGGATCAGAATTTGTCATAATTGATGTTATTGTAGATGATTTGAACATAACTGGAACTCCTAGAGAATTGGAAAAGGCCACTCTTGTTTTAAAGAAATAATTTAAATGAATGATCTTGGTAAAATGAAATTTTGTTTGGGTCTTCAAATTAAGCACACAAAAATGGAGTTTTTGTACATTAATATCTAGAAAATGTGCTTAAAATGTTTTATAGGAATAACTCACATCCATGAGTAACCCGATGGTGGAAAGGCACTTAGATGTCAAAAGGGACCAATTTCAACATCATAAAAAACATGAAAATCTTCTTGTTCCCGAAGAACCATATCTTAGTGCTATTGGTGCACTAATATATCTTACTATTAATACAAGACCTGATAAATCTTTTGTCGTAAACTTATTAGCAAGATATAGTTCTTGTCCAACAAGGAGACACTGGAATAGAGTCAAACACATTCTTTGGTATCTTCGAGGTACCATGGATATGAATTTATATTAATCAAATTCATCAAATGTGAAGTTAATTGGTTATGCAGATGCTGGATATTTATCTGATGCACATAAAGCTCAAACTCAAACATGTTATTTATTCAGTTATGGAGGTAAGAAAAATTATTGACATTATGTTAAACAAACTTTAGTTGCTGCTTATTCTAACCATGCAGAGATTATAACAATTCATAAGGCAAGTCATGAATGTATTTGGTTAAGAAAGTTAACTCAACATATTCGTAAGAATTATGGTCTAACTTCTAACATGGATTTTGCAACCATACTATATGAAGATAATACGACTTGTATATCTCCATTCAAGGAAGGATTTATCAAAGGAGACAGAACCAAGCATATATCACCCAAGTTCTTTTTCACTTATTATCTTCAAAAAGAGTGTGACATCAACATCCAGAAAATTAAATCAAGTAACAACATTCCCGATTTGTTCACTAAAGCACTTCCTACATCCAAATTTGAAAACATTGTACGAAACATTGCTATGCGGCGCTTCAAGGAAATCAAGTGATGTACTGATTAGGGGGAGTTGGAAACATATTGTACTCTTTTCCTTAGCTATGTTTTTCCCACTGGGTTTTCTTAGCAATGTTTTTAATGAGACAATTATTTCCAATAATCTATTATTAATAATGTACTCTTTTCCTTAATAAAGAGTTTTCCCATGAGGTTTTACCTATTAAGGTTTTAACGAGGCATGATACAATCGTCATTCAAGGGGGAGTGTTATGAAATATTAGTTTGTGAATAACCATTGGATTCCTCATTTCTTCCATAACTCTCTATCATTATTTAGCATTAGTAACAACCATTTCAAAGTGTTTTAAGAGTGTAATAATGTACCATCATAATGTGCATTCATCTTTCATCTTATTTTGCTTGTATAAATAGTGAACCATATGTATTAGAAAGTTGATGATTTCATCAAAAGTATTGGAATAAAAGTTCTGTTCACTCTCATGTCTTTCTTTACTTTATAATTTATCTTGTTATTTGATCATATTTTCTAACAACAATGTAATTTTATAAATTAATAACTACAAGACCGAAACTATAAAATTTCTTTGAAAGTTACAACTATAGGAACCAAAAATGTAAATTCCTTAATTAAAAACTACGAGTATCAAGTATCAACTTCTATTTAATCCATTTTTTTAGAGTTAGAAACTATAAGGAACAAAAATATAATTGTTAACTTAAAATTTTAAATTACTTTATTCTCTAATAACCAACAAGTCTTTGACGTAACAATCTAGTACGAGGTCCTCATTTTCAAGTCTCCTAAGTGATATATAGATGAAATTAAAAAGTAGTTAAAGAGTAGATTTATGAGTGTGTATCTGTTTAAAAAAATAGATTTCTTGATAATTAAGAGGGAAATATAATGACCATTAGCAAGGTATTTGTTAATCTATTTAGACCGGTAGCTATGGTATCACAACTTATCACACTTTTGGTCTAGCCATGTCAGGGCCACATCATTTTTCCCTCTCACCCTTCTCTCACCCCACAAAACTGATAGGAATGATACCGCACCTCACCACACACAACGGTCGGAGAAAAAAATGTGGTATAACTTTCTGGTGCAATGGTCTTAATTAATATAATACAATTTACTGTAATAAATAAAAGACTGTAAATATTAATTATTACATTCAAATTATAACTAATATATAAAACAAACTAGAAATGTATAGACATGACCTAAAATCGATAACCGAAGCTTCAACTCTATTCGGAGAATTTTTTTATTTTATTTTATCAGCAGGATTAGTATTTGTCTGGGATTGAACTCATGACCTCTTTGTTATAAATTCCACACTTTGTTAGCCAAGTGGGCTAGCCCCAACTTGTAACTCTATTCGGATAAATGAATAGTGTTACTCAGTAAATGTGATAGTTAGTTGTTATAATATGAATCTACTCAGAAATCAAAAATCAAATCGTTAGGCTTTAGGATCATTGGACATGCTCTTAGTGACGAAGTCACAAAATATTAACATGTACTTTCATTTCTCTTGCTAATGTTTTAGTTTTTTTTTTTACATATTTATTGATTATATTTTTACAAAAAAATATCCAGTCATCGTATCAAGTATCAACTTTTCAATTAAATATAGCAATACTAAATACCTTGCAAGTGAATAATAGTATAATACACTTTATAAATGATTTAGTTGTATTGTATTAAGTATTAACCAAATATGTTGATGACATGACTAAAAAATTCAAGGCTATATGTATTTAAGTGACTTCTGAGACTACTTGAAGTTGAATAATACAGAATTCAGAATATCTCTTGGAGTTTCAAACAAAATGAGTTATGAGTCTAGTGTTTTTCCAATTCCATTCCAGACTTTACAATTCCAATTCCAATCACTAAATCCAACCTGTCAAACCATATCTGTCAGCAACATTATACATTACCAGTTCATCCCATGTATGCCCGAAAAGACGTTCGCCTCCAATGGTGAAGGTGAGGGCCCACGAAGCTAGCATGGCTGAAAATATCGTCACTCCTATTGCTGATCCTACCACATCTACACAATCAACAAAACTAGTTTTTACTTTCTAACATAAACTTCAAATCTTCTAACCATTCAATTTCCCAGTAAACATGGAGGTATGTATTCATGAAAATATACTTCATTTTTTACCCTAGAAAAGCACAAAACCGATAAATTGCTCCATCTGTCCCAAAGAAAGAGCTGAATTTTGATGTTTTTGATGTCAAATCTAGTTAGCATTCAGTAGCGTAACCGATTGCAGATTAAGTATAACAATTTCTTAAGATACTTTTTCAAATTCAAAATGTAAATCTGGAATAGAGACAGTTGGCCTGACAATTTTGTGCCATTGCAGACGATGTTGATAAATCAAAATGAAGAAGGAGATTCAATTTATTGTAACGAGAATAACTCAAAATGCGGTTAGAGTATACGAGAATTTCCCCCAAATTGAGAATGAAATCGACTTACAGGGGCGGATTCGGGGGAAAGAGCGAGAGTTACGAAGAACCGGCCAGAAGTAGTAGCAATTAACGGCCCACAGCATTGGTAGCAAAATGAATCCAAATCCGAAAAACTTACGAGCGTAACCAATGGAATCTTGCTCCGACAACCCCAATGGTCCGTCGATCGTCGGCCACTCAGCTCGCGATGATGAAGCAGTACTGATAGGGTTACGGTTCCCGTTCCGATCGTCGCCGCGAATGGGATCGGTACGAGGAGTTATCAGTACGGCTGCTTCCGACGGAGTCACTTCCTCCGATGACCTTTCCATTCTCTCTCTCTCTCTCTCTCTCTCTCTACGCCGTATACGGAAGAAGAAAAAGAGGTAGAAGAGTTTGAAGTATAATAGTATACCCCCCTGATCTTATAATTTTGTTAAAAGGCCTTCATAAATGTCAAGGTCTACAAATAAAGTCCTAATCTTATGATTATTTTTTCGTAGAAGGTCTTCATGAAAATCTGTAGTTCCAAATAGACCCTAATCTTTACCATTTTCTAACAACTTTTAAAGTATAGATATTATTTGTTATGTTGTTTTCATGTGTAAATTCCGTGAATTTCTGCCCTCAAATTGCATACATATATGTGTGTGACGCTATCAAATCGCAACGGTTTAGTTTGAAGTTCGTATTCAATGAGTTGAATATATGGAATATACATATTAATAGATGAAATCTGCGTTATATTGTATGAATTTTACATGTTATAACATGATTATAACAAGAAATTCACACAGCATTACTTGAAAATCCACATCTAATAGCATGGAATTCATGGAAATTGCCATTTCACGACATATGTTGAAATTCACATGACATTCAGTATTCACACATAAGATGTTGAATTTAATTTGAAATTCATGTGCCATATTTAATGTTGATCAACTATGTACTTTTAATAATAGAAGACTGATAAAAATAAGTATTCAATTTTGTTTTGTATACTTAGCATCCTAGATTTGTACAAAAAAAAAAAAAAAAAAAAAAAAGTCGCAACTTTTTGTTTTTTCACAAACATCATCAATATTGAGTATTGTTTTAGAGTACAAAAATGCCTACAACATATCCCCCCTTACAAAAAAACAACAGACACACTTGAAACAATTAAATAGCCCTATTTGTTTCCATTTCTCCAAACCAATGTATACTTTAAACCCTTTGTTTTTCAAGATTGAGTTCTATCCTTAATCTTTGCTCTCGCAAACAACACTCCTGCAACCAAACCTAAAACCAAAACCAAAACAAAAATTGAGTTTAATAATATAATATCACAAGTAACAATTTTAAATATAGATTATTATCATACAAAAAATAAACGAAACATGAAAAAATTCAAAGTTGAAAAAACCAATTTTCACTACTGAAACTTTAACACCACATTTTGTGTTGATGAATAGAATAACACCAACCATATTTGGTGTTAGTTATACTATATTACTATTCACCAACGCCACAGTTGATGTAAAAATAGAGTAAAAATTTGGTTATAATATGAATTTTATTTTAAAAGGAAAAACGGCTAACCGAATAAAATGCTGGCAGAATTCTCAACGCTTGTAGGGACATGAAATAAAACTATGCCAGCAACCGAGAGCGGAATCTTATTTAGTGACCCCACAAGACTGCAAATAAAAAAATTTACAATAATTTTGTCATCTTAAAACCATGTAATGCCCAACGTCCATCTGACAGGACTGAACAGGTTTGTACTGCATCTGGTACAACAGGGACCGGGACTGATGTCAAGAGGACAAAAATTGCAATTACCTGTATGTGGTGGCCCCCGTCTGGTGAAGAAACCACATGGAAGTGAAGCTAATAGCTAACCCAAGAAATCCACTAAATGTCATCACCACCCAGAATGTCGGCATCCTCAAAAGGGGTCTGCAAATTACCAAAAAATATTTACTAATCCAAAAAATATATATATTGAAAGTATAAATGTTATAATAAAAATAAACTTACGTGGTATAAAGATAATCCACCTCATTGAATACAAAAATAAGCACAAGCCCTAAAGGCAACGAAAGTGTGTTGTTGAGTAACACCATTGAAAACTCATTCAACTGTCCAGATTTTGTCACTTGCTTAGCTGTATCCATCACTCTACGAAGTGTCAACTACACAAAAAAATTTAATATAAAAATTCATCTGTCTGTTACACATGACATGACACAACAGGTTGCACTGCATCTGTATCTGTATCTGTATCTGGCGTGCACTTACAGAATATGATGCTGTCAGAAAACAATTAATAATCTGCCATGTGTACCCAACAGCATTAAAAGCCAAATCCGTTATCCCTCCAGATATTGCTGATATTATCTACACACACAAAAAAAAAATTATCATTTTGATTAAAAATTTAATATTATAAAAATAAACATACATACCATCAAGAAAAGTGCAGCCCAGACTCTATTGTCATGGTGCTTATTGAACAAATACATTTCACCAACTGCAGTTATCACATTGGTGAAATTCTTCAACACAGTAACCATGGCAACATTAATGTATCTTAAACTGCAAACAATATTATAATTCATTTTGAGTTATTATTTATTATTATTATCAAGATAATGAAAATTGATATAATTTGATACCTAAACATGCTTGTGACTAACATCCCAACGAATATAAAATTCACAGGCAACCAGATTTTTATCAATCTCCATGTAAGTGGTTCTGTTGATATTACACCAAGTATGCTCAAACTAGAGACTATAAGTACAGATACAAAGTTCTGAAAATGAAAAGAAAAAGGACTTGTTAGAGAAATAAGAGAAGATGAAGGAGTAATGATGTAAATTGTAATAATATTGAACCTGGTAGAGCATTAAGGATATTCCAGCATTGAAATCATAGCTGGAGAGGACGTATTTGTTAACAAGTATCATGCTACATGATGAAAGACAATATGCAAATCCAGATAATAAGGCTTGATTGTTGACTTTTATTCTACTACTCTTTTGACTTCTTTCTTTTTCTTTATCAAATTTTCCATTCTCCACATCAGCCTCATCATCACCAACATTTTTCATTGTAAGAGTTGATCTGTATGAAAATAAAATATGATAAAAGAACAAAATGTTGAGAATAAATGCTGATAGTTCTTGGCCCAAAAGACAAAAACTTTAAAAGCCTTAAAATTTAAGAGAAGAAAGACAACAAAGAAGAAAGGCTAAAAATAAACAAAACCAACAACAACTACCAGTCTACAACACACTATCTTTTTCTAGTAAAAAATGTGAAGCATGATTTCCAGAAATGTTAACCATAAAATTGATAACCAATTGTTTTGTTTCAATTTCAAATAAGGTAATTATAACATATTAACTATGCATTTACATATAAAAGAGCATTATTGAGCTATGTGACGAATCTTATTTAGTGCTATAATGAACTTCCAAGCTCAAAAGTATACCATTTACAAATAAGATCACATAATTTACAGATGAAAGGTCTAAAAGAAGGAGAAAGACATCTACTCAGGTACTCAACAAGACAAACAAACAATCTAACTTTGTGAATCTAAAAAAATGTTATTGCTCAGATATCCACGAAATTAGAGTAACCCAAAATTGGACAACAAGAATAACTAAGAGAAAACACAGCCTACAATAAATAGTAAATGGAATTACTAAGCGAAGTAAGTGTGCCCCAATTAACCTCAACCTAAAATCAGCCGAATATAATAACAAATACACGGGAATAAAAAACCAAGATTTAAGAAGGTGAGGTGATTCGCTGTTTACCTGATTGAATTTTGGAGAAGATCAAGATTAACACACAGATAATCGAGAGATAAGAGACCAGATGCAGTTTTTGCAGAAGATTACGAAGAGCTAATGGCTGATGACTAGTGATGCATTAGGCAATAGGCATAGAGAATGAGTTATTTCATCTCTTCATCTTCGTCCCTGATCTCTTCAAATGTTTGACGCTTTGTAATCATATCTCACTAAATCACTAAAGCGTAAGAAGGGTACAGGATTGATGCCCGCCTCCTCTTTGACGCACCGGGGAGAAACAAAAGAAAACCGCGCCTCTTCTTGAAGTTGCCGTATGAGGAGAAGTCAACGATCCTTTGTGATGACCGGCGGTCTGGCGGAGTTGATGATGTCAAAGTAGTTTCCGGCGGTCTGGCGGAGTTGATGAGGTCAAATTGGTTTCCGGCGGCCGAGGGTGGTGGCTTATTCCCAAATGGCGTCGCCTGTATTTATTAGGAAGCTAATGAGACCAACATGCGATGCGAATGCGATTATTGAGTGGAACGAAAGAGGGATTTATGAAAGAACGAAATATCAGGGATTTGAGATTTAAACTGCGACTTGAATTTCATGATAGGGACCCGTTGAACCAACGCATAACATATGTTTTGATGCTTGGCTTCCGTTATATTTTATTATCTCCGACTTTATATTTTATTAAGGGAGCTTTAATGATTAAGTCAAGTCTGATATAATTTTGAATATGATAAAGTAGAGGCATATTATGATTGAGTCTGATATAATTTTCAATCTTATTTTGCATTTATATTCGACCTAGAACTCCATGAATTTTAATGAAAAATATAATATAATAATTTAAATTTCATAAAAATATACTAAAAACAAATCTAATACCTTCAAAAAGTAAATATAAAAATATATATATAAAATGCGAGTTTCAGTCAAAGTTTGAGTTGGTCAACACTTTGACACTGAGATGTTATCATGTTATTGTGGAGTTTCATCAAACACACTTCTTTAGGCATTGCTCCACTATTGAGGAGTTGGGGTGTATCCATTTGATCACGAGTCGCTCCCCTTTGTTGCGATTTAGATTTATTGTTGAAACTATTAGAATTGATTGTAAATTTAAGATTCATTTACTTGTAAATTATAAGGAATGCTCAATACTTTTACTTGGGTAGGTACTTAAGTTTTTTAATTTAAATATTAATCATAAAAAATTTTCATTGACATAACGGGTAAACGAGCAACAAGCTGAGTCATAACCATTTTTTACATTGAAAACTAATTCTTTTACATTATTATGCATAACTTGTTGAACTTTAATAAGGAGCTCCACAGTCCACAACATCTGCAACACAAAGAAACCAAAAATATCAAATGCAAAAGGTATAAACATGTGTTAATTTTTCATATAAATTTTCTTTTTTAAATCTGACTATTCAACGTGGTTTTGTTCACACACTCACACAATATATATATATATATATATATATATATATATATATATATATATATATATGAAAAATAAGTATACATTACAGACCCACCTAAACTTATATACTAAACCTTATGAAATTACGTTGATTT